TTGATAAACAACCCAAACACTAACCTAAAGAGGATAAAATAATGAGACGTTTCTTTAAAAATTAAGCACAATATGAGCCACGCATTCTCAGCCAATATACTATAAATTTATTAGCCTGCGATCTCTTGCCACATCTATGCCAAGCGTATCGAAGCCTATTTACTATAAATTTATGTAGCCTAAGCGAACGCAACCCAACCTAACTTAACCTAATCTAAGTTAATTAGAAAATTATTAAAAATTTACACTTCGAAAACTTCCAGAAACTGACGTCATAAGATGAGAATGATTTACCAGAAATAAAGTATTGAACAACATAGCTCAAGGGGTAAAATAAAATGCTCATGTCAGAGAAAGAAAAGAAGCTGCAAGTCAGCATCAGGATGTTTCTGTCTCTACAAGTGCGCATAAATTAAGTAGCGTAGTAACATACACGAAAATGGGAAATCTTAGAGTAGCATTTAAAACCCTAAGGAAAAGTAGTTTTGGACACTTGGGATGCCAAGCCCATCATGAAGTTTGCAGCACCAGCATTGAGCCAAAAAAAAAAAATGCTCAGGTAAGGAGCTTAAGATAAGGATGAGCCAAAGGTTTGCATGAGATTTGTCCAGTAGCCGAGAAGAATAAAATATGTGGAGAGACTCGAGGAACTAAACCTGACCACCATGGAGGGAGAAAAGGTGAAAGGAAAGATATGATTACCACATGTAAAATCCTAAGAGGTATTGGCAAGGCAGACAGAGATAGGCTTTTTGAGTGCAGGGCAGTAAAAACACGGGGCCACAGATGGAAAATGAAGACACAGATGAAAAACAGAAAGTGCAGTATTCCTGTAGTCTCAGAGGTAACGGGAGTTAGAAAAGTGGAAGGAGTTATGTAAGGAAGTGGTAGATATATTCGCCATTCATAGCCGGACTAGTATGCATGAGAGAGCCAGGAAGGCCAGAATCCATTATATGTTAGTCAGGCTAACTCAGGAGGTGGTATTAGGTGTCGTCTCGATCCGTGCAACCATCATTAGAAAAATATATAAAAAAAATAGTCAAGTTAGAAAAAGGTTCTAAGAAGAGCTGCAAAATGGCTTTTAGAGCAAAAACAATTAAAGTTACAAAGAATAGCTGAAAATATTTGAAATTATCACGTTCTATGATAGAAGAAGAGCGTAGATTTGATAATCACATATAAAAGGATACAAAATAACGGATAAAGAACTTTTTTTTAACACTATTAACAGGAAGAACAAGAGGACGCAGTTATAAAATGAACAAAAAGTGCGTTACTGAGAAGATACTGTAATAGAATCTTCTCTCTCAGAATAACAGAACAACACAATAGGTTAGAAGAATAGTTAGCAAGTGCTAAAATCACTTGAATTTTTCATGTGATGTTATAGATTAAACTCTGAAGACGGGTACTACATATATTTAAATATATACCACGAATCGGACAATAAAAACGCCTTAAGTCTGTCGCGGCTCCTCTAGTTGCAAATACATAATTACCATAGGAAGTAACGAAGTATATTAGCATTTATGTCATGGATGTATAGACACTAATGTAAAATATGAAAATGTGGATGACTGTGCAACTCTGCAGGAAGATCTGGATAGATGTGAACACGTGCAGAGATAGATGTGAACACGTGCAGAGATAGATGTGAACACGTGCAGAGATAGATGTGAACACGTGCAGAGATAGATGTGAACACGTGCAGAAATAGATGGACGATGGAAATGAATGAGGATAAATGCTATGTACTAAGTACGAGAGAAAGAGAAAATATGCCACATGAAGAACATAGATTTCGATATATGAAATCCGTCTAATAACAAGAAGAACCAAATTGTCATTTATGACAACAATTGTCATACTAGCTTATTACACGTGTACCATCCTACTGCATATTATATTATAGTCTACCTTATTACATACTACCTTATTATATACAACCCTAATACACAGTACCATATTGCATACTGCCCTATTACATACTACCCTGATATACTACCGTAACACACACTACCTTAATACATACTACCCTGTTACATACTGCTCTGTTACATACAACCCTATTACATACTACTCTATTACATACTACCCTGTTACATACAGCTTATCAAATATTTACTAAGCCTGGGAAAGTAGCAATGTTAACTAACCTTGTGGATGCTTAACCTCGCCACGTTTAAATTCCAATAGTGAAGGCACTCTTCCGCACCATCCCCACCCATCCCTTCATCCCAATCCTTCCCTCTCCTCGTGTATGTCTCCATTTGCTCTGCCCTCAACACATCCGCCCACTACCCCCGCGCAGTATCCATATTCACGTCTACAGCATTTTTTTTTTTTTACCCTTTCTCTCTATTCATCTCTCCCCGTTCACCTTGCCCTGAGTCAGGCAACGTCCAGTTTACCCTGTTTCGAATAGTAGCCTTAGTATCATAGGTCAGCTAGTATTTCCAAGACCCTGGGTCAGATAGTCAAGTAGTTACACAGTAGCATAGGCAACACTTACAGGTAACAGTACTATTGGTAACACAGTTCTATAGGTCAAATTTTGCCACCGACCAGTATATATCACAGATTACTTGTACAAGGCGGTGACTGAGGGAGCATTCAAAGGAGAAGCAACTAACAAAACATTTAACTCAGAATTGAGCTTCATCAAGTCTATAGTAAAACGAAAAAAAAAATACTCCTTATGTATGCATGGCGGTGAGGTGTAGAGGGGAGGAGAGGTCACGTCAGATACAGCCACGACAGGTCATGGGTGGTGACCTAGTGTGAGAATGTCAACCCCAACTCATCACCTTTAGTTTAGGTAGTGTCCGACAACCCAGTACCATAGGTCAAATTACTTTTTTATTCATATTATCATAATATCCACAAAATATGCTAAGCTCAAATAGGTTATAGGATCAAATAGAACTGGCAACCCTTGTCATCAGTGTTGCGGGTAAGTTACTATCATGCCAGCAACACACTACCAGTGAAACCTTCATTGCAAGATTTAGTCTAGGACCGGACCGAAGTATCAAAGTATCAGGTGTCAAAGATACTTGATAAAGTCCTCTCCTAGACCCCCCCCCCACCACTAAAAAAAATCGCATTAGAGGTTCCGCTGCAACCAGTGTGTCTCCCGCTACTATACCTGTATTTCCCTCGCATGACCCTATCTCGCGGTAGCGCATCCTCATCCCATCTCCCTGACTCGGAAGAGTGCCTGCAAGCCTTGGTAACATGCCAAGATGTGATTGAACAGGTGTAAGGCCGAGGTGTGGTAGCGCAGGTGTGGTGTGGCAGGTGTAGTGTCAAGATGTGGTAGCACAGGTGTGGTGCCTAGGTGTGGTAGTACAGGTGTGGTCCTGCAGGTGCCGCTGGGGGCCCCGTGCACTCTGCCAGTCTGGCCTCACACCAGTTGTTGTACTTAGCCTCCCTGCTGGCCCTCGTCTTGCTAACACTCCTCTTGGCTGTGCTCTCCTACAGACTACCCAGGTGAGCTTCACTAACATGACAGGAATCAACAATGATGGCGCAGTACCCACTTCCACTCTGCCTCACTCTTCATTTGCCCAATAACTGCCTGTAAAAGTTTGATAATGACTTAAAACTTTCGAACAGTTTTGCTTATATATGTATACTATACTACTAGCTGCAAATATTAAAAAAATAATGTAATATAAATTTCAGTTTTAAATAATTAGCTAAGTATTAAAAAATCTATGCCCATAAAATAGCACAGTATTATTTTTTTTTTTGAAGTTACATTCGGTGTCAAGAATCAAGAAACTTTGTTACTGCCTTCAATATATTATATAGAACTCTGTTTAAACAGAGTCACACTGTCATAAATCTTATATTAATTTCTTCATTTTCATATATTACAAGCATTGTCCTCCGGTACTTAATAATATATGCAAGTGTTCCTCCTGCCCATTAATACAATACTCCTAATATTACGTAATGTATATGTACAAAATTATTTTCAAAAAGTTAATTAGAGTACAGTACCATTATATATATATATATATATATATATATATATATATATATATATATATATATATAAAACACTGATCTCTGGCTGAAGGAGACTCGAACCTACGAACCTTAGGACAAGGTACGCAGTGCTTTACCAATCTACCCACACTGGACCAATACCTTGGCGTGTAGCATGAGCTACACGTTTTGATCCAAGGCAGCCAGCTTTCAGGGAGAAGGCTTACAGCTTTTCATCTCATCCCCTGCATGCATCAGCCTTACTAGAGATTTGTTCAAATCTCTAGTAAGGCTGATGCATGCAGGGGATGAGATGAAAAGCTGTAAGCCTTCTCCCTGAAAGCTGGCTGGCTTGGATCAAACGTGTAGCGCATGCTACACGCCAAGGTATTGGTCCAGTGTGGGTAGATTGGTAAAGCACTGCGTACCTTGTCCTAAGGTTCGTAGGTTCGAGTCTCCTTCAGCCAGAGATCAGTGTTTGTGTATATTTCGCATGCTATCGCGAATTCCTTGCATATTATATATATATATATATATATATATAATATATATATATATATATTAAATATACAATTCATTCTGAAGGCATTTCAAAATCTTCATTTTTTTCTTTAATTTTTTGGGAATTTCTGTTTATTGTGATACAAACACAGTACACAGCTGCTGTAGCTAGTTTCTGGGCATCAAAAGCAGGTAAGTTTGATTCAAATTTTGTGATGCTTGTACATAGCATGAGGCATGCTTTTGTATTTGCTTACTTTTAAAAATATTTCATGTTTATAATTATTATTCATTTTGTTATAGTACTTCTGTTTTGTTTAGTTCGTAATATTATCTTTGCTGTATGCATTACTATATAGTGTTTTGCTAACAGTCAGTTTCTTTGCTTGCTGTAGTTTCAATAAATACAACTACTATTTATCAATATTTCGTCACATTTTTTTCCTTCAGTCACATATCTTGGTTTATACCTTTTCATGAACTTTCTGTAAATCTTTCAGATCGCAATTGTCAAGGGCCGTTAAAAAACATACGACACTCACAAGGTCGAAGATGTCCACGAAATCAGCCAGCCGCTCTTTGGGAGCTGTTGCAACAAACCTTAGCTCGCAAGAACAAGGTGTTTCCTTGGACAAAGGAGCAACTTCTCAATTGGTCACCCACCCACACAGGACACGCCTACTGGCCCCGTTATATGCGTCCTGCCCTACAATCTACAACTCATCCTCATCCCAGAGGGAGCCACAGTACAGCCCCAACACACAGTGGACCCATCCCCACTGCCAGTGGCCTTCCACAGAACCCTTCCTTAGGACTCCTTCCCTTGCACCATACAACCAAGGATCCGGTAGTTTTGGATTCTCTTCTTGCCAACCTCGACCTTTCCCAAGTTACCAGGCGCAGAGAACCCTTGGGACACCACTCTTTAACCTCAATTCCTCCAGTCACACCTCATCCCACTCAAACGCACGCAACCCATCAGTTAACCACTCCAAACAGCCCTATAATGAGAAAAGTCGAACTTGACACTGTAGAGACCTCACAAATGGATGTTCTTCCTCATTCACCCCGCCAAAATGAGCACAATAAGGGTGAGCATACACATCCCATTCACTATCATAGTCGGACTCATCATCGTCACCATCACAGGCAGTATTCTACAGATCTAAAAGATCGACCACCTCATAGCAGCTTAGACGATGCCTATTTACCAGAACCTAATGAATCAGCATGGGACCAGAAAGTAACTGAGGCTGATTTGGACTGGTCCTCAAAGGCATACCTCAACACTCCAGCGTCCCCAGTCTACTATACCATGCCCCACCAGGAAAACGAACACCAGTGACGCACATTTTTCACACTGGGGCATTAACAGGTAAGACCTACTCTCATTAAAAAAAAAACAAGACCAAATTCTATGAAAAAGTAAACTTAGCGATATTGTAAATTATCTATTATCCAGTGATCGATTACTTGGCTTCCATCGTCACCTAGAATTGCTGCAGACATAAATTTGGTTCCTTTGGTCTATTTCTTTAGGCTATGCTTATTTTTTTTTAATTAATTAACATCCGTGTACAGTAATAGCGCAATAGTTTTCTAAAATGAACAAACAGCTGATGCTTTGACATCATTATTGAGATATCACACTTACAGCAAAAGTTGTATTTTCCCTTACTTACCGAAGCGTCAGAATACAGTATGTGCTTCTAAACAGACATTGTAGCAGAATGGAAAGCTTAATTAAAACGACGTCTAGGCTCAGTAAAGGTTCTCCTCTTGCTACAGTGTATTTTTGTCAGCTTGTCTGTCTTCATCTTCATTTCCACGCTTGTGCTTAATAATAAGGCCTATCTTTCAAGTATATTTTTTTCTCACTTTCAGATTAAAGCTTTATGTTGAATACACAAGCGTCCCTGCACTCCACTTGCAATGTGGATAAGGCGTGGATGGGAGACAGTGTTGGATGTCTCCTGCTGCTGCCAGACACAGCTGGTGCTGGTGATGTCAGTAATACTCAGCTGTACTTATGGAACTCCACTGCTGTTAGTGGCACTGCTGGGGTCATGTGACCTACATTGTTCCTGTTGGGTCAGGCAGCCAATCGTCAGTGATATGTGAAGTATGGGAGGAAGGACCACAAGCATTATGTAATCAAAGTTGTGTGTTGATAATGCTGCAGCTGACCACTAAGGAGCAAAGGGTTGTGAGGTGCCACAGTGTAGTGTAAGCAAGCCAAAGAAACAAGTAGTCATAGATATAAGCAAGCCTGCATTGGATCCATGGTGCCTGGGACAGTATGCGCACATGTCCACCAAGTGAGAGAAGTTAAGAGACTTTAGTGAGCTTCCTTCTCAAATCATCAGGTCCAGCCACCAGTGGAACTCCTGTAACCCAACATAAGGTCTGTGTTATCATTCATGAGGTCACTGGGTGGCTCTGTCAGCCAGTACTGGCCAGTGGACTGACTGTGTTTTTATACCAACACCACCTGCACAGGAAATAAGTCGGGAAGCATAAGGAATCGCGATGAGCATTGCTGCTCCGCCAGAGCACCAGTCAGCTCCCGTGACTTTCCTTGGACTTGTGTGCTCTGTCTATAAGCACTTGTGTTCTAAGTTGTGCACACCAGTTTTGCTTGGTCAGATCCTGGGGATCAAAGAAGAAAAGACATGTATACTTGTACATAGCCATATAAACTATATATTAAGCTCTGTGTTTACAATGTTGTATCTAGGGCTTCTGTTCAGCAATAAAATGTGAGACTGAAGTGTTAGAGCAAATACTGGCAAAATGGCTCGAGTGATGGTGTTTACACACAATATGGAATGTGCCTTGATTGACATTGCATTTACATCAGTCTAGAAACCAGATAGACCAGTTGATTTGGTTTATGTCATTTTATCTGATATTTGTTGTATATACTTTTTCTTCCCCTTCCTACTCTTGGTTGTAAATTTCTTTCGTTGTAACATGAGTGATCACAGAATGATATATTTTCAACAACAAGAAAGACTGGTTTAGGGATTGTCACTGGTTTGTACCGAAGCTAAGCGTTTCATTCTCCTTCCTCCTATATACAGATGAACTTCAAAAACTATAATACGTTACAGATCACACGAAAACTTTTACATATTCAACTCTAATTTAGATATTACTACTTGCCTGTGTGTGTTTGTGATTCATCATTGCATACCTGTAATAATGTTGGTAGAATTACCGACAATGATAGGTATAAGGACACATGTGCAACTAATGCGACATTTTATTGTGGCATCGTTTCCCTCTCCAGGAGCGAAAAAATGTGCAACCCGTGAGCGAAACGTTGCCACAATAAACTGACGCATTACTTGCGAGAGTGCATACCTGTCGCTAAATGGTAGATGCATGGTGGGTTTGTGATGATCACCGGACTCAAGGAAACAATAGTATCCAATACGGTGGGGGAGGGGGAAGAGATACAAAGTAGTAAAATGCAATTCTTTATTGAGAGCATTTGTCAATAAAATATCTCATTATACTACTGGATTTATGTGTCTTTATCTTCCATCGTGTCGGTATTTGATACCGTTTGTCTCCATGATTCATTACCTGTGAATCTTGGCCCAAGACGTTCTTCGTCGACGTGATTCTTTTTCTTTTTTAATTTTTAAACTTATGCAAAATGCATTTTAAGCTTTAGTGGTGTGCTATAAAATTCTGACGTTATGGTTGAGAGTTGAAACACATTAGTGGAGGCTGAAACAAATCTTTATGTATTTTTTTTATATATAAAATCTTTCTGCTGTATTCTCTTGGGAATACTTTTGAACTGGAATTTAGGTTAACTAAGCTTTAAATTTTATGTTAAACTTACCGTTGGATACTTATATTGTGTTTCTTATTTATTTTTATGTAACTAATAATCATTATTATTATTGTTGTTGTTATTGTTGTTGTTATTACATTCATTGGGAGTGCTAAACCCGTAGGGGTTTCACAGTGACTGAGGGAATGGAAAGCAATCAGGTACGACCCGAGGACAAGTAGGCTACGTTCAGTTCTTTGTATCAGAAGACACACACATACACACACACACACACACACACACACACACACACACACACACACACACACACACACACACACACACACACACACACACACACACACACACACAAGAGCAGCATACTATTAGTGTGGCTATGGAATCTTATCAAAGAGTTTAGCTGGAATATTATTCTGACAATGTTATAGACTTGTTCCAGTCTATAGAGAGGAACTGTGGTGACGGAGTAGAACTTAGAAAAGCGTCACGCCGACACTCACCAGAACCTAGTTAGGCCTGCGACTAATGTTATGGTAGTCATGAATGCAATACAACCGTCACTGAGAAGAATCACAAGGCAGGAATGTACTACCTTCTGTGACCTGTGCTGTTAGAAATTGAATCAATCATTACAGTACATGTCCTTTCTCATTCACCCACGACCATCCATTCATCCCTCCATAACCTGCCACGTTTTATCTCTTAACTTGCACGTTACATGTCATACTTGCTGCATGCTGAAGCCACAGGGTCAGGCACTTGAGCAGAGCAGAGTACCCCCGTGATACCTTGGTTAGGGGGCACCACACGTTTTCAGGGGCCTTCCATCTTCTGAAGAGTACTATTTTCTCTCTATTATTTTCTACTTGCCGAGCTGGCTGGCTAGCTCTGGTTAATGAGTTTTGTATGGTGTGAGTTTTAATAGCGTATGTTTTTCGGCATTTAGCTCTCTCCTAGTGCAGACAGAAGCCTGACTGGTCTGCCTGGCTGCAGGCTAGTCCAGCGCCCCTCAGGAGAATCGTCAGGAACCTTCTCTCCTATCGCATGGGGCAGACAGGCCCAGCTCGGGCACGGGGCTCTGCTCTTAACCCCCTTAAACCATATTCATCTATAAATTGTGAAACACACCACGGTGGCACAAGCCTGCCGTAAAGTAGGCACTAGTACACAAGTGTCAGGGGTAGGGGCAGTACTTCATGATCTCATTCCGTGGTTAGCGGCAGCAGTTGCCTGGAACCCACACTTCTGCTGCCCCTGGGATTCCTAGGTCAGTTTAGTCTGATCCATGCAATGATCACTGGAGTATTTGCATTGCTGAGGCATGATAGCTGCCCTTCCATCCACCCCCCGTGTCACTACTTAGGACCGGACCAGAAAATTCACTTTGCCCATAAGAATTAACAGGAAGGTGTCTCCTCCCAGTGGCTTGTTGGTGCTTGGGGGATATGGTGTCGGTCTGGCTTGTGTTTTGTGGTTCAGCTTGAGCTCTGTGTCGACCTCACTCTTGTGTGCTTATTTGCCGTCCTAATGTTACTTGTAGAGACAAGGTAGCTAACCTAGTGCAGTTTCATCATCACACATTTCGTGCAGTAAGTGAGGAAATAACAGTGGGACTATACTGATTACTAAAGTTGATAAATTAGACACATGTGCAACACTTGGGTATCTATAATCTGGAAACGTTTGACCATATTGTCTTCATCAGTCTACTACAAAGAGGAATGGTGATCACCTGAGGGACTGATTACCTCAAACTCTTTCTGATCTTCACCATTCTTCTCTGCATTGCACTGATGAATCCAGTGTATGGCGAAACGTTTCCACCGTAAAGATACCTAAGTGTTGCACAAGTGTCTAATTTATCAACTTGTCGGTTCTCTGAACTGTTTATCTACATTAAAGTTGGATACCGTGCCTCAACATGGAACACCTTTGGGTCCCCCAGTTCGAGTTTCCTGGTTCCCCCTCCGGCCCCACTATGATTCCACTTGCCACAAACCAACTACCTCAGTTGATAGTGTACAGTTCGTCAAGGTGCGTGTAGGGCGTTCAAGTAATCAAAAATTTGGTTGGGAACGACCATAAAAGACCTGTGTCGGGATTCACGAGTTGTCACAGACCAGTCATTACAGGACAGCCAAACCCTGAATTGTTGGGCTTAGCTGCTTCTTTTACACTTTAGTTACTGTATCACACTTAGCAACAAGAGTTTTAGTATGCCATTGAGTTTAGTTGCAAGGCCAAATAGGTTAAGGTTATATGGATAAAAAAGGTTCAAACTGTCAACAGGATGTTAACTGGATAACATTCGAGTGGTAGACACAGTGAGTCCCGGGAGGTCAAATTTATTGTATTACTTTATATTTTTTTGTATAATTTTGCCGGGGGGACCAAGGCGCTCCAACACACTTGTTAATAACTTGTCCTTCTCTCATCTTTTCTTGTCTACTTTGTGTGCTGTATTTGTCCACTATATCTGTCAGTGTCCAAAGCAAAGATAGTTTTGCCACAGACTGAATCTAGTATATAACATTTGTAACTGTGCATAGTAGATGTTTTATTTATTTTTGCTGCCCAGTATGTGTCATATACAGTATATGAAAACTAAATGTTTCAAGCTTCAAATGGTAAAGCCAAAATGTGGACCATTTGAGGTGATAAGAGCGTGTAAAATTAAAAATACAGAAGCCAATATGTGCGAGTTCAACTGTAAATATTAATTATATTAATAATAATATTAATTATGAATGTCATCATAAATGGTTCTCTATGCAGATGCATTTATGTGACTCGTATGTTAGAAAAGCCAAATAAATTACGAGTCTAGGAGAGTAATAGTTTCACTGAACCTCTAGTTATATATGTCCTTTTTTAAACTGATATTATATAATAATTTTATCTGTGTATTGTAGCTGAGTAACCCCTATGAGTTTTGAGCTTCTTCGTCAATGTAATAATAATATGAAGTATAGTATAAATAAAACGATCTACCGTACTGAGGTTTTCTGCAATAAGGTGACGCAAATCAACTGACTTAACGTTGTCAGCCATATGGGACGTCACTCTGCACTATCAGAGACAAGCATATTCCATAAACTCATGAATAATATCTCTCCCTACGCTGGAAACAATGTGAAAGCCTATAAAAGGCATGAAGCATACATGATGTGGAGGCTGGGTATGAAGCCTGTATCAGTAGCAAGGAACGGAGACGCACACTGACGTCCCATTATCGTTCAGAAATAAATACATTATGACGCATCGATATTTACGCATCAATATATATATATATATATATATATATATATATATATATATATATATATATATATATATATATATATATATATATATATATATATATTATTGTAACCACGAACGAGTGGTATTTAATCAATAACAACACTAAGACTAGCCATGGACTCGAACCAATGTCGTTTTGTTCCAAGTCATGGTGAGCGAAAATCACACGATGCTCTAACCCACAGGACCACCAAATCCTACAAGAATCAAGCACCCAGCAGAGCTAGGTGTTTTACCTTAATTCGAGGACATACGGTGGTGTGGGTGCATCTGACCTAATTTCATTCTACTCCCCGAGTGGTGTACCAGCCTCCACAAGCGGTATTTTATATTATTGTAACCACGAACGAGTGATATTTAATAAAATGCACCTATAAAATATTAACAATGGCACATTACATAAAACAATTGTTTTTCCTTCGTATGTTTACTGTCGAATCAAGAAAATGGTTCTTAAAATGGTATACAATACCGACGAGTTGGTAAGTAAGACACATGTACAACAGATATCTTTCTCCTGAAAAGTTTCGCCGATACAGTCGACTTCATTCGCGTACTGAAAAGTTGGCAGAAGCAGTAGAGATGTGACGGCGATGTAATTACATCGTCTTCACATCTCTACTGCTCCTGTCAACTTTTCTGTACTTGACTGAAAAAGCCTACTGTGTAGGCGAGACTTTTCGGGAGATAGATACCTAACTGTTGCACATGTGTCTTACTTACCAAAATTGTTCTTCACCAGAAAGATGTTAAGACTGTTCTTCACAAGAAATGTGTTATTAACACTGTTCTTCACCAGAAAGATGTTATTAAGACTGTTCTTCACCAGGTAGGTATTAAAATAGTTCTTCACCTTGTAGGCGTTAAGACTGTTCTTCTCCAGTTAGGTGTTATAAAGACTGTTCTTCACCAGAAAGGTGTTTCTAAGACTGTTTTTCACCGGGTAGGCGTTATTAAGACTGTTCTTCTCCGGGTAGGTGCTATTAAGGCTGTTCTTCACCAGGTAAGTGTTACTAAGACTGTTCTTCACCAGGTGTTACTAAGACTGTTCTTCACCAGGTGTTATTAAGACCGTTCTTCACCAGGTAGGCGTTAAGACTGTTCTTCACCAGTTAGGTGTTATTAAGACTGTTCTTCACCAGAAAGGTGTTTCTAAGACTGTTTTTCACCGGGTAGGCGTTATTAAGACTGTTCTTCTCCGGGTAGGTGCTATTAAGGCTGTTCTTCACCAGGTAAGTGTTACTAACACTACTGTATTTCATAAGTTAGGGAGTAAATAAATACAGTTAGTAAACATCATATATTTTATTCTTTATACACATTATCATACAATATTGCATTTACAAGAGAGAGAGAAATAGAGAGAGAGGGATTGACCTCCCGGCACTGGAAGAGTGAAGAAGGAACTGGAAGATCATTGGACTCAAGTTTAGTGATCAGCAGGAAGTCAGAATAGCGAAGCGAACATTTCCAGATTGCTAAAACGGAATTTTTTTTTACCCCAAGTCTTATATACTACAAATCAATCGACAAAGCTTTGTGTATAACGAACTGTAAATTATTTTGTTTTTATATTTTAGATTAAGAGTATGAAAGGGAGGGAGGGAGGGAGGGAGGGAGGGGAGGTGGTGGGGGGGATATCAATACATTAGCCACTAGAAGGTTACGATGAGAAACATTAAGAGGAACCTGGTATCTACTTTGCTGTGGCATACATGGTTGATCTTGCTTTCTTGAATCACAGTTGTGTCTCTCCACCACACTCTTACACACAGTGACAACTCATTATCACTAGTCACTGCAGTGATTAGTGTGGCCCTTCGTCGTGTGACCCATTGTCGTGTGACCCTTTTTCGTGTCACCCCCTCGCCGTCTCTCATTTTTTGTCGATTTGGGAGAGTAACTAAACTGCAAGGTAATATGCCTTAAATGGAAAGACAGATGTTTTACAAATTTGGGAAAGATGGAGTGGGCTTAAGAGACAGGTCGAGGCGGACACTGTAGACGGGGAGACAGGAACAAGCTTCCCCATAGATATGTTTTCATGTCAAATATTTTGCTATTAACACAATGGAGATAAATCTTACACGAGGTTTCGGTCCTTCCTCGACAATTACTAAGTAACGACTCAGAAATAAATCCTTAGACATCTTATAAAGATTTATCGCTAATGTGTCGTGGGCTAGTTTTAAAGTGTGACTTTTGTTCTTTATATCACTTAAAAGAGAACAAGTGGAAGGCACAATTAGCCCCTGAGGGTCGTGTCAACAAGTCGAGAGTAGCTATCCTTGAAGAATTTATTTGATAAGGTTTCCAGATGCAGTATATAAAAAAAATTAATTTCAGTGATCCTAACAGCTAGTCACATAATTACAAGACTATGATCTGACTATATACTGAACCGATTTTTGCACATCATGCGGTCACAGACGACGACACATTACACAGTAGATTTTAAATGTATATGCATATGACCAATTTCAACCATACAGAAAAAAATTCCCATCTAATAAATTGCGTCTCACAATAAAAAAATATATATATATTTTAAATTAAATTATGAGCACATTTTCACGTCATGGATTGTAGATGATGTTGTCTTCCGCAGCTCTATATCTCATGGCGCTCCTGACGGAGGGAGGAGGACCGTAGTTCTCGGTGTCGGATTCGTAAGCATCGTTGACGTTACCACCGTTCGGGGTAAACACGCGCTGGTTGTCTGCCTCGGAAGCTATGGAGGTGCGGTTGCGCGGCTGTGGGAGTCACAGATACAATCAGTTTACACTACATGATGCAGGAGGCAGGTAGCTCTGTAACACATGACTTCAGAGCACTAGCATAAATATGCAGAACTTGATATGTACAAGAATCAGTAAAGTGCTGCGATTCAAGATCGAACATAGAAATATGTGGATGAAAGGACACGAATGCATATTCTTCGAGCATCTTTAATAGCTATGCTTCGGTTATTGGATCCTGGTCACTCATTTGGAGTGACTAAGGTCCCAGCAGTGAAATGCACTCGTAAAGATAACCTATGTACACTTGCGTCCTTTCATTCATAGCTTCCGTACCTATTTGTGTATATATACATTCATATATTCATATGTTATTTTTTATTAAAGTTGATAATTTAAGTTTAATTTGGCTAGGTTTAGGTTAGTCCGTTAAACTGGAACGGTTTAGGTTAGATATACATAGATTAGTTTAGGTTAAATCTGGTTACTACTGTTACTAGGTTTAGTTAGCTATGCATATTATTATAATTACTACGAAGTTCCTACAGTAGTAAATAATTTATTACACCATGACAATTTGCATATATAATTACATATCGATTTGCCATATATTTAAGACTGAGGGTAAGTCCGGCACACGTGGCAGAGGCCAAGATAACAAAATATTGGCAAATATCGCAGGATATGTAAGTTATTTACAAACATTTGACAACAACATGTACAGTGCAGAGGTCAACACACTAACAAGCTGACAACAGTTCTACATTGCTACAAGTAACATATTAAGTTCACTCTACTACTAGCATTTCCTCCAAAATCCACATTAACTTCATCCTCTCTTGTGTAGATGTTATCCAGACCAGAAGAGACTGGCTACCATCACCACAATAGGGAATGTAGTGCAGAAGCTGCTAGGTTCCTAGCAAGCATCAATAAGCAATGGGACCCGACAAGGTGACTTGTTAAGCCCTGAGGGAGGTAGCGAGAAAACTGGATGAACTGCTAACAAAAATCTACATGTTAATGAAGACAGGACATTTTCCAGAAAAAAAAATGAAAATAAACAAAAATTTCGTTGGAAAATTCATGCAAGCGGATAGATACACAAAACTGAATTACATAGTGAGAAGGTAACGAGGAGAGTGTTGGAGCACCATGAGATACACGGTGCTCAAACAACAACCATTATAAGTTTATGGAAGGTAAATCCTGTCTCGCAAATCTACTTGAGTTCTACGACCGAGTAACCAAGATTCAGCATGAATGGGGGATGGGTGAAGTACGTAAGACATGCACTTCGCTGAAACAAGGAATAGCTAAGCGAAAGGAGATAGAAATGCATAGTCATGGAAAGGCATAAACCCCTAAGGGCAAATAAGAGAAAATCTGATACAAACTGGTGGAAATTCTGAAAAAATTTCCACTGATTTAAAAAAATGGCGAGTTAGGGATGAATATTGCAGATGAGGTAGAGAAGAGAAGCTGACGAGCCAGATGCAGGAGTGCTAGTGTAGGAGAGAGATAGAGAGGAGAGAAGCGGGAGAGAGAGAGAGAAAGAGTGAGATAGAAAAGAGACCAGATATTAGCCTACACAGTGATGGGGGGAGGGAAAGGAAGCAGGGGTGAAGGGCATTCACGTGGTAATGAGTTAAGGTTATACGAAATAGTAACCTAAAAAAGAGAGCGACAGCAGCAGATCACTACTGAGGGAGTGTTAGAGGCGAGTTAAGAGGCAGGACTGAAGGAAAGGTATACCACTCAGAAGTGATGTGAAGGGTAGGGGTTGGAAGAGAGAGGGGCGAAGAACCTCTGGTTCTCCACGTCGGAGGTGATGGAAGATCGCGAGCGAGGCTGCAGGAGAATCACGGTCAAGTTAGTGGAAATGCTGACACCTTGCTGCCGCCCCCTTTAAAGAGGGATGGTGCCTTGACATATCAGTGAAAGATTCTGCATCCCAAATTTTTCCCCGGAGATGTCTGAACCTTGTGGGTATTGCACATCCTTGTGGATGCTGTGATTGCACAACACCCAGTTTCTGTTATGGGTGGTTGTTATGGTAGTGGGTGAAGCAAGCTAGGTTGTGGCTGAGTGTGTTTACATAGGTATAGTAGTGGTATGATGTTGAAGGACGACCAGAGAAAGTATGGGAACATTAGTGTTGGACGCAATACAGGTTTATTTTAACCTGATACTTTGTTTATACAGAAATGAGTGACACATGAGAGCATGTTGAAATCCCATAGTTATGCAGAGACAACAGGCCTTACCCAAGTGTTGTGTAAACCCAGGAAAAAACAGTTTCTGCACTATTACTTTTTGCACACAAGATGAAAATACACAGTAGTGACTTTAGTCATAAAGCCACAACATGCAGATTTTTTTTTAAATGAGGCAATATTTCGCTCAGTGCAGAGCTCCATCAAGTCATGACTTGATAAAGCTCTACCATAACTTAAACGTTATCCATATATATGCTTGTTTTGTATATTGCATCTTTATGCCCATCGCCTGTGGACACTGTCTGGACATCCAGTAGCAGTACTGTACTGCTGTGTGGTACAAGGGAAGTGGGCAGTAGTAAAGTTAACACGACAGGTGTCTGAAGGTTTGGCCGTTGTAAGGGTCGTCAAGAAAATGATTATTAAACACAAGAAAAAAACTCCACATTAGAAATAAATTAATGTGTCTGTTACTGTATGTACATTCCAAGAACGGCGAGAGGCAGCAAGACCTCTATATGGTAATGCAAAAACCCAGCAGTTTCGCTAAAAGGTATGTAAAACAGCTCACCTTTGAGAGAAACATTCTTTGCATAACCTTACTTTCTGGTATTATGCCTACCGACCAAGAGCTATATAACTTTAGATGCATGCTTGATTTAACGTGTTATAAATGTCCATGCAGAAGGTGCCGAGGGGAGCAGATGCAGACTTGGAAATGGGAGATTCTCTGGTAGTTGGTGCACCAGTTAATTTCTGCCTCGAAAGAAGGAAGAGGAATTTATTTTATAGACAGTCTCATTATTTACCCTTCCAAAGTGAAGAACTTTGTGGCAGAGAAGCGGTTCATAGAAAGAAGTTCTTTACATACAAAGATGTTTACCTCTTCTCTGTACAATGTTAATAATAATGATAATGATAATAATATGAAGACAAGAAGCAGCACAAACACTACAGAACATATATTTGGCAACAACAACAATGCCATAAAGAGAAAAATCACAGCAAATTGCATTACGGAGATATCTTACACTGCAGAGGTGTACTTAGTCATTGCATTGAATATTCTTGGATCAATGAAATATTACTTAGTTTAAGCAATAAGCATTCTTGGATCAAGTGAAAATGTACGTCATTGTGTGTGTGTGTGTGTGTGTGTGTGTGTGTGTGTGTGTGTGTGTGTGTGTGTGTGTGTGTGTGTGTGTGTGTAAGCTAAGACTTTTCAAGTATATAACTATTATAGATGGTGTTCCAAAAAATACAACCCCTGGAGAATGCAATTGTTATTGTAACTTAATGTGAATAATTAAATACAAAAATAGTGTTCTCATTACAGTACTTCTTTTCTGTTCTTTTTAATGAACACTGTGTGTTTAAATCAGCCTTACATGTTGGAAGACCTACAAGTCAACATTTAGCGTACAGAAGACGGCATATCCCAAGAGACATTAAAACAAGCGTTCACTATCTTGATTTGTCGTGTACACTTAAGTGAAAAACCCTGATGGTCAACAACGTTGATCGTCAACACATTCAAAGGATTTTCTAATTTACTGATAAATATGCATTTACCATTAGTTGTCTTTTTTTGAACACCCTGCATATATAAGGAACATGTGTTCACATGAAAGAGCACATACAAATATTCGGACTCCCACAGATGAACACTGAACATCTAAAGCTTGGCATTAACCTGAAAATTATATATTGTTACCTTGGAGCAGTTTAAATAATTTCTATGTCAGCAGCAAAGGAGGCACGCTGTTTTAATGGGAGAAAAATATGTCATAAGGCTTCGTGAGGAAAATTTAAAAAAAATGTATAATTTAATTTACGACTTTCAGATAATAGTTGTATTCATCCACCTCAGTGGCCTCCTCATCACAGGCTGACACCTCACACCCTGCGAGGTGTCAACCTGTGCCACCATCTTTCACTTTCTCAAGCACTACATTGTCCCTTTCTCTCTCTGCATTTGCTAATATTATGGAAGCTAATATCAGCTACACAGCCTTCTTTCTTACACTTGTTTTACACACTCAGGAACCCCTGACTACACAGTCCTGAATGTAGTGCTTTCACTCTGGCACACCTGACTACATACACTTCCACACTTCCCTGTTACGTGTAACTCAACATTCCACAAACTATCAATAAACCTTTAACTTTTACTATAATAAGATATATATGTATATAAATTTCCAAGTTACACCACACTTACAAACATTAGTTATATAATTATTCTAAATGTTAAGAAACTGGCAATGGTAAATAATAGATAATCATCTGTTCTGTGTTTCATCTCTATGTCAACATGGCTCCTGTGATTTTAGTGGTATTCAATATTTTGGTCAGAATCCTTACTTCAGTATTTGTCAAATTATATTTTGGGATGCGATAGATTAATTTTTCCCCCTTTCTCAGATTCAAATTCAATACACATGGTTAAAAAATATTTTATATGGGAGAATTTTTAAGACGAGAGACTTTACCTTCTTTGCTCCCATCGTCTGCATTCTGGATTGTCTTCTCTCCTGGACCACTGTCTCGCGTCTCTCTGCAAGAGCTTTGATGGTCTCTCGACGCATGCTCAGACGACGCATGTTACCAAGCACTGGAGTCTCTGTAATGAGTAGTGCACAATATAACTTTCCTTAGGAGTACACAGCACTGCATGACAGGCGAGATGCTATGAACGAGAACATTACGAGGCTGCGTCCGAGGCAGAAGAGGACCTCAGTGAATTAACCAGTTTTGTAGCGGTGAGGACATACAAGGTAAAAATAAATAATTGTATTAAAATCATTTGTTTTAAATTGATGCTGCAGCTCAATCACAATATTAAATTATAATAAACAGAGAATAAACCTCTACGTGTCACATACCGGTGTCCATGCCGTTTTCTGCAGCTTCAGCTGATATACTGAAAAATCTCTTCTTGAAGGCCACATCGAGAGTGCCAATAGCCTGTTTCTTTTGTCTGTGTCTTTCCAGGTTGTGGATGGTCTTGCGCCTTCCAAGTTGTCCTCCTTGAACACTATCACTGTCATAGTCACCATCAATACCTCTTAGTTTCTGAAGTTGCTTCACTATATCAACAGCATTTCTTTGAATGAAAGCATCTTCAGTAGCATCCTCAGCCTGGTAATGATAAAACATATGAACTAAGAGTTAACTTATACTTTGATACTGCTTCAGCGATGATGTTTTTTCAAAGAATATTTCACTAGACCTTATTTCTTTAGTTTGGTAGTTTTAACACGCATTTCATAGCCATATTTTGTAAATGTCGTTAAAAAATTACAGAGGCAGAGATGGATCCAGGGACTATGTCCAAACCTTTCGCTAGTTAAACAAGCTACAGTAGAAACGAGATATTTAACCTATTACAGAGGTACAGTGATCTAAGGGACTGGGCAAAGGTGCATAAAGCATATTTTCATAAAATCAATCAATTATAAGAGCAGAATTCTTATTGTAACTCTACATGTAACAGAAACAGTGTATATACACTGTGTATGTTTTGTTGTACAAAAAAAAATAGTTTTGAACCTACCTTCTTATTACAGCAAGTGAGCTCAGTGGAAGACAGGATGTGCGAGATGGTGCCAAAACGATGGAATAACATGGCAACAAACTGAATGATCAGAATAAGGGCAAAGAAGAACACGAACACCAGACCAATTGGTTCCAGCTGGAGGTACTCTTGGCTGATTAGTACCTGAAAGTCACAAAGGAAAGGAGTGTTGATGAGAGAGATGAACAATAACACTAACCTCTGCCTGGTTAACAAAGACACTCGCACACTAGTAAATGAATTATGAGAAAATTATTCAACAACAACTGCTAAAATTGATTACTGTACATTTAGGAAGGTATTTACTGATAACATAATGAGATATATCTAACTGTCCACGTAATCAGTATGGCAAAACAGAATGTATATGATATTTTGGATTTGAATAAAAACAAAAACAATATATATATATATATATATAATATTATATATATATATATATATATATATATATATATATATATATATATATATATATATATATATAGTAAAATCACTATTAACGAAGACTTGGGCCCAGTATCACCGCACCATTTCACATGACCTCTAGATAGAAATAAGCGGAGAGGAGAGAAACATTGCTAGGGCGAAGTGTGACCTGACGGTCAGTTGTGACATGATTTCCAAGAGTAATCAAGCGCCCAGTGCTATGTGGAGATCATTACTGGCCTAGTGAGATAATAATGGTGATAAAAATGACGATTGATAAGCATTGTTTAGCAATCGTCAAAATTCATGCTACGTTCTTGCTGCACTAAATGACCCATGCAGGTTTAGTGCTTGTTTGCGGAGATATAATAATAACGTTTGTAGTCCGGCAGGAGATAATATAACATTCATCTCACGTTGATGAATATCACACATGTGCAACACTTGGGTATCTTCATTAACGTCGAATCACAGGTGAATTATAAGAGAATAACATCGTAAGTGATATGAAATTCCTCTCACTGCTTCTTACTTTTTTACGCAGTAATGCACACTCGTGTTTATTGCTGCATACGCCTTATTGGACAGTGTTTTCACTGTACCTGGGGCTTTAACTGGAGGGAGTAACGCCCACAGGTGCATGAACATACAAATATGTATACAAAGATTCGTTCTTAAGTAGAGAGTTCTAAAGTCATGGCTAATGAATAATAATACATTGGTAGAGGATACTGATAATATGTAAATGTGGAGACGTATTCTCAGCACACAGCCTCGGCGTTACTTGTCTATTCCCTATACTCCCAGGTACACGTACATTTATCTCAATTTCACTAAAAGACGGTCAGTTACGCACAAGCCGGTGGCAGTTTCCGCAAACACTTTGTAATTAAGTCAGTCCAGGAAATCAGGTCACAACTAGACATCAGGTCACACTGTATCTTGGAAACGCTTCTCTCGTCTCTGTTCATCTGAGCTAAAGATGGTATGTTATACACTGCAGTGACACCGGCTCAAAGACTTTGTTTTATATATATAATATATATATATATATATATATATATATATATATATATATATATATATATATATATATATATATATATATATATATGTATATATATATATATATATATACATTATATATATATTATATATATATATATATATATATATATATATATATATATATATATATATATATATATATAATATATATATATATATATATATATATATATATATATATATATATATATATATATATATATATATATATATATATATATATATATATATATATTTATTATAAAAAAATGAGGAAATACATGCAACAGGTATGATATTGCATTAAAACATTAATTAAATTTCCATGTGACTATGAGGTGAGCCTGGCACTCATGCAGTGAGAGAACACCATGCACAAGGCTCACAAAACTGGCATGCACTGTGGGCACACAAGATTAAGATTAGTTCAAACCTGAAAGGAAGACCAAGACGGTATAACCAGTTCTCGCTGACTCTACTAGACAATACATACATAAAAAATATCACTCAAAGACAATGTAACAAATCTTTATCGTGAATAATATGTACAGTTTTCAGAGATGCCAACAAATGTATACGAGATGTATATTTTTTCTAATGTGTACTTGATAGTTTCTTGCCAAGACTGAGTAATCTTGACGCACCAAACATCTCTCCAGCTCACTCTGACACAACGTATTCTTATATATACATGTAAATTCCTCAGCAAGAGTCTAAACAAATGCATACCATGGATAACTGGACAGAATGAAGAGGCTTAATAATTTTGACGACGTTTCGCTCAGGGCTGAGTGAAAATGAAATCCAAATACGAAAAATGGTTTCTTTACATGTATACCCCTCAGCATTACGTATTAACTTTAACAGGTATATCATCCGAAGGAAGATATACCTATGATTCATACAGCTAGAATCCCAGACAATACACGATAATCCTTAATTTAGTTAGAAGATAGTTCTCAGCAGATAACTTCCGTGTGAACTCCCAGGTCCCCTACTATCCCTGTATCCCATGTACTCCCATGTAATTCTCCCGGAGTCAAGGCATGAGACTCTCCTCTTTCCTCTCGCAATAATAATTATTATTATTATTTTTACAAGTACATGTACAAGGTACAGGCCTAGCTAACATCAATGACATATTACTATATAGAAAGCCGCTTGTTATGCTGAGCATTTCGGGTAAATTAGGTCAGTTTTGCCTCAGGATGCGACTCACACCAGTCGACTAACACCCAAGCACCTATTTTACCAGGGACACCAGGTGTCTTAAGAAAACACGTTATGTCTCCACCTGTACCGGGGATCAAACCAGGGACCTCAGTGTGTGAGCTGAGTGCGCTAGCAACCTAGCTTCGTGACATGTAGCCACAACGATCACAAAAGTATGCTAAATCTCACAACGTATACTTCCTCAGAAAATTTCTTGTTGCTTTATACACTCGCTATGATCACTGACGCTGCTCCTCAACGTTATCAAAACTCACTAAATTTGACATGTAAAGAAAAATATTCACATTTGAAAACTAACTACATATTATTTTCTGTCACCCAGAAATTAATATAATTTTGATTTTCTAAATGAAACCATTCATAAATTTTTGGTTTATTTTTTAAATTACAAAATAAAGTTTGTCTTACTAAAAAAATATCAATAATGTAAAAAAAGTAGAATGATACTATGTCCGATCACTTCGCTGAAGATATATAATTATTCTAGTATTAAATTTTAATTCATAGTAAGATTTACCTGTGTACGACAACTAACAAGAGCGAGAACTGACTATACTGAACCAACCGTAGATGGAGACAGTAACTAGGTAGGTACTGCTAATGGTAATGACCAGGTGGTCGCCAGGTGGTCAACAGATGATCAGTAGGTGGTCACCAGGTGGTCAAAAGGCGAAGATAGTCACCAGGTGAGGATAGTCACCAGGTGAGGATAGTCATGGCGTCCAAGCAGGAGCCTCAGTCGTTCCAGTATGTACAGTGCACTCACTCAAGCATTCGATCTAGTAGTCAGGTTGCTAGTTAACTTACTAGTTACTTAAAAAAGGTTATGGTAGTCGATAGGTACGTAAGGCTAGTCAGTATTTACAGCTGATCATCAAGCTTAAACAGTCACGAGAAGTGAAGCAGAGACAGTCTCTTAAACGGTTCCTCAAGCAAAGACAGTCGGGGGAGAGAGATGGCTGGGAGACAGTCTTCAGCTTCAGGCAGCTGGGAGAGAGTCGTCAGTCACAGGTAAGTGGGAGACAGTCGTCAGTCACAGGTAAGTGGGAGACAGTCGTCAGTCACAGGTAAGTGGGAGACAGTCGTCAGTCACAGGTAAGTGGGAGACAGTCGTCAGTCACAGGTAAGTAGGAGACAGTCTTTAACAATAAGTAGTACTGAAGTAGAGACTTGTGGTGATAACACCAGCTGAGACGCTCATCAGATAAACAGCAAGATTTTAAAGATGACTTAACAAGGAGAGATGAACAGTGAATAGTGAGTATTATGCAAAAAATGGCAACTATATGTAAACAATGGTAACAATAATATGGTGAGTACAACTTTATCTTTTATTACTGGTATGATTTAAATGTTTTTATCTAAGCATTTTGCCTTTTAATGATCATAAAAAGCAAAATTCTTTGCATATTTTTTTAAAATAGTACGTTATTAAAGACTTTATGAGAGTAGTTTATGTACTTTTAAGTAACAGTGTAAGGAGAATGTGTTAATTATTAAACGACAAGGACTTTGAAGCAATTACCGTAAAGGAAAAAAATAAACGTTAAATGTTAATACAATTATAAAACTTAATAATTTTATAAGCATTTTCAATCCTGCTCAGATTATCTCAGACGTTTACCAAACGAATTTTATGCAGTTTGTCAATGAAAAATTATTGGCAATTCCTTCGAGATTTGTAAAATTTTCTCCTAATAATGTGTGAAAACGTTTTATAAAAAAAATTGTATAACGTGTTTTTGACAATGAATGGTAAACTATCAGGTCATTTTTAGTGAGGAAGGTAACATGCCGAGTCACATGTAGCATGCTGTGTCACGAGGAGGTCATGCGAGGTCATACTAAGTGTTAAACTGAGTCAGGAACATCAGAGGCTATTTAGTTTTGGGCTAGGTGCAGTTGTGAAGGGAAGGCCTCCCATTTAGTTCCAAGATTTCCCAAATTAATAGGAGATAAGGGAGGCCTGTTGGAAGGAGGTCGCAGAAGTCCTTGGGCACCCCAAGTAGAAGGAGCAGAGGCAGTGTCCTTGTTACCTCCTGAGTCTCTGGTATAACTGTGATGTTTTCTTTGATGCCGAGTGGCCAGTCGATGTGCAGTTCATCTTTGTTCAGCTGCAGTAGGAACACAATGAGCACAAAGAGCGCGTTGAGCATGAAGAAACCGAAGAAAGATTTGTTTCTGAGCTCCTTTAACTCGATCTCAGCTTGTTTCTGTTGGGAGAGAGGTGCACCACACACATCACGGACAAGTTACAAACACTGCCGCCGACATGGATTATGGCTCTGGCCCACCTACCTCGCTCGTCGCCTCGATGAAGGTGATGTTGGTCTTCACGCCCAAGGGCCAGTCGATATGAATAACATCTTTGTTCAATTGGAGTAGGAAGCAAATAATAACAAAGATAGCATTCATCATAGCGAAGGAGAAGACCGCTACATTCCGAAGCTCCTTTAAGTCACCCTCCATTTTTTTCTAGAGGGGGAAGAGAAATAGAGGGAAGGATGGGGATTAGTCCATGCACACCCATAACCACTGAGAAGGTCGCTGTAAACAAGTCCGTATTGCAAGGTCAGTCTTATTAAGAGTGGTGCTGCTTGAATTATTGGTTATGAAGAAAGTGGGAGTGCAGCTTGCACCAGTGAAGTGCTGTCCAGCAGTGGTGACAGATCCAGTATTATGGTGCTGTCTACCCTGGTGACACATCCAGTGGTATGGTGCTATTCAACAAGTGGCAGAACCAGATTTGTGGTGCTGCCCACCGTAATGACAGTGGTGCTGCCAGCAAGGAACCTGGCGTGGCCCATGGCCGGGCTCCGAGAGTACTGAGACTCTCGAAACTTATCAGAATGCCATTGTGGCAGTGCTGCTGTCCACTTCTGTAATAAAACTGACCTTAGGAGAGTGAATGATAGTAACAGAACTCCATTATTTATACAATATAAACTCCCAAAAGTATCTATGTACAGAATGATGTAGTATAATTCTTTCTCTACTGTGATAGACTCATCTATCTACACTAGCAAGTACGTAACTAAATCAACGAAAAAACACATTCTACTCGAGGAACCCAAAAGTTCTTCACATGCTCTGTTAAACACCATCATGCCAACATTCCAGACAATTTTTTATATATATTTTGAATTTCAAAAATCAGTTTATTTAACAATTAACAATACATACATATATATATATATATATATATATATATATATATATATATAATATATATATATATATATATAAAATATATATATTCTAATTCACTTACCTAGCTGTTTTTAAAACCTAGGAAAATGACAGGAGTGTGAGTGTAAGATGACTGTCAGTTATACGTTATTCGAGTACGGAAGTTTTGTCAGAATGACGATAGGTAACATCGTGTACCAGTCATGGTACCCACACAGTATGTGTGCCGTAGTGCTGGCCCTGTCATTGTACCCTTATGGCACGTGTAACTATGTGGCAGCCCAGCTATGGTACGCTGATAGATTGTGTAACCCAGTTTTGTACTAGCCATGGAACACACGCAATCTCTCTATCTAGCTGCTGATGCAGCCATGGAGCGCGCGTGCACACACACACACACACACACACACACACACACACACACACACACACACACACACACACACACACACTAACACACACACACACACACAAACACACACACAAACACACACTCGGTATGTATACGCTAGTTTTGGCCCAGCCACAGAGCGCAAATGGTATGTGTTACCAGTCATCGCACCAGTCAAGTTACATACATAACATGCTATATATAAACCAGGTAGCTGCACCATCATTCACTAAGAACACCCGTGAACAGGCAAAAGTTTAGTGAAAAAATTTTGCATCGAAAGAGTGCCTTTAAAATATAGATGACATCTCTCGGAAGTAAACAGCTTTAGTTTTAAGGCAAAGCAAATTAAGTGATTAGTTTAATGTTAATCTTGAGATTTGTATCATAATATAAAATGTGTTGCGAGTTAAGAATTTAAGAAAAGTTGTGTTCTGTTTGAATCTGACTTTCCTTGCAGATATCAAGTATTAAACCAATTAAAATCTATCTTCCAGTCATATATGCATGAGAATCTGAAGAATATTTCTTTATAATATTCTTGATTACATGCGAGTCACTTTGAAAATATTCTGAAGAGTATAATTCGATATATATGCAGGGAGAGCAGCAGTGTATATACAGAGAAAAGTTCATATCTCACCATACATACACTTAACAGTGTAACTGTGTCCTTGACTTATTAGTGTACAAATTACATGCAACCTTAATGATCCTCGGGGAGTCGATGGGCTTTAAACCTGATGAACCAGTCAATCAAATGATGTACTTTTAGATTCTGTTAATGATAACAACGGTATGTGCTGCGATCATTATAATTTATTATTATTATCACCACGAGGAAGCTTAACAACCTGTGTTTGTTTCAGAAAAGCAGTAAAAACGATTGGAGTTTTATCAAAGAGTAATGGAGGTGCTTCGAGGCCTCTAGCTAGCAAATACTAGTCCTGCCTTATATTCACTAGGCCGTGACGGCCTAAACAAAATAATAGCTATTTCAAGCTATTTTAAGAAGTCACCTCTGCAGTCAGGGGTGATTTTTATTTTTTTTAAGACACTGTGTTCA